AACCACCCCCCCCCCCGAGAGAACCAGCAGCCGGCCTTGACAAGGATGGGGCAACTGGCAATCCACTTGGCAAGGGGCTCCAGCTTTTGGATGGCTATTTGGTCATTTGTGTTTAGAGTCTCAAAGGCGTTCATCTGACCAGGCATGGTTGCATGTGGCAGGTTGAGGCCACATGAAAGGCCCTGACCGGTTCCCAGTCCGCCCCAAAAAGCTGGGCACAGCGGCACACTCTGCAGTCCCAGCTAATCAGGAGGCTGAGGCAGGAAGACTGCAACACAGGAGACATCGACTAAGTGCATCTCTTCCAGGACTCTCTTCTAAGGAAGTGATCAGGGACTTAGACGAAGATGTCTATGCAAGGTTGATCATTTACAGCATTCTTAGGGAGGGGAAAAAGGAAGCTTTTTCACAGTGGGGTTGCTGCCAGAACACAGGTGTCGGGAAAAAAAGAGAAACAACCTAACTGGTCCCTTGTGGGGAGACAGCTATGATATATCCGTGTAATAATACGCTCTGCAATAACAAGAGTAATGCTTAGAAATCTATTGACAGGGGCCCAGCAGGTGGCGTGGTGGTTAAGGCACTGGACTCCCACTTAGCTGACCGCAGTTTGGGTCCTGGACTTGGCGGCTTGCTTTCTCACTTTCTCTCTATAGTGAGCTCATGTGCCCTATAGCAGGTTAAATAATAATAATAATAATAAATAAAGTAAAGTAATTGTTAAAAAATCTGTTACCACACAAGAAAACAGAACCACAGGAAATAGTGCAATCATTACAGTAATTGTATATGGGCATGGGTGTAACTAGTTTCAAGTTAGTGAGACACTATTTAGAAGATCCTTTATTATGAAGATGATATAAACTTACTGAAGATTCATGATATGATATTAATTGGAAACGAAACATAATATAAAATAATAGATAACTTAGTGGCAACCTTAAAAATTAAAGAATGCTGAAAAATTCAGACTTATGTTAGGATGGTGGTATTTCCTCCAAAATGTATATTACTATTGTTAGTTTGGGTTTGTTTGTATGTATTATAGGAACAAGTAAAACGAAACTCTCCCCGGGAGCTGTGCACTAAATGAGGGGTTTTTGAAACTGTCTCTGAGCAGAAGGCCTTTTTGGGACTGCCCCCATGAGGCAAGGCGGAGCATCTCAGATGACAGTGGGAGTGACTCTCCAAGAAGCTGGAGGGGATGCTTGGTGTGGTGGCTGAGACCCCAGCCAGTGTTCACCGCCGTGACCCGCAACTACCTAGCCAAAGTCCTGTTGTCTCCGCCCTGACCACCAGGACTTCCTCTCCCTGCCCACCCTTGCCCACTGGAGTCCGATAGAAGATTCTGTTGAACCTACATCGGCTGCGCGGCTCAGCGCTCAGTAACACCTGAAGTCCTCTCTCCTTAGAGCTCATTTATTAGCATTTCTTACATGAGAGAGTGTATGTGTGTGAAAGATAAGAAGAGGAGCGGGGAGACCAGGAGATGGCATAATGGTTATATCACTGGACTCCCACCTAGTCAGCTGCAGTTCAAATCCTGGATCTGCAGTTATAAAACTCATGCTGGGCACATGTGTGTGTATGTTCAAGATTCCGAGAGGAGAATGGAAAGAAGGGATTGCAGAGTGGCCATCCCCCCAGAGTGGGGGTGATTGCTCGTTTTCTGTCTCTCTGGCAAGCACACATGCCCTATAGCAAAAAAAAAAAATCTCTCTCAAAACAAAACAAAACAAAACAAAACAAAAACAAATAAAATTAAATAATATAAAACAAAACAGGGCGGGACCAGCAGATGGCATAATGGTTACATTGCTGGACTCCCATGTAGTTGACCATGTTTCGAATCCCAGACCAAGAGGTTTAAAACTTATGCTGGGCACATGCATGCCCAAAATTCCAAGAGGAGAATGGAGAGACGGGATTGTGGCATGGCCATCTCCCCACCTCCTGGGGGGGGGTGATTTCTCATTTTCTGTCTCTCTCTCTCTGTCTGGAGAGAACATGTACCCTATAGCAAAAAATCTCTCTCAGAAGAACAAACCAAACAAAAGGGGGCAACCTCTATGTGGTCTCGTCAGGCTCGACTCCCTCCCCCAGCCCTCTGGCTGGTCAGCATCTCGAGTGGGTACACCCTGGCACGTTTCAGCCAATGTGGCACCTGAACCCGTGGCCAGCACCTGGGCTCCAGCCCTGTAGAGCAGCTCCCTGCCACCTGTGCCATTGCGGTTGGGTGCCATGTCCTCCTGGTGGCCCACGGGGCTCCCAGAGCCTGGGCTCCGCATCTCCTCGCTAGGACCCTTCTCCTCCTTCCTCTGTCCCAGCCTCTGTTCTCCTGGATTCCCAGTGTCCCCGACCAGTCCTCACCCTGCAATGCTCTCCCTCAGCCAGCCACATGGCTCAACTCTGCCTCCTCCAAGGCCATGAACCAGAAAGGCCTTCCCTGGACGATGAGGAGGAAAGAGCAGCCGCCTGGCCTGAGCCCTGCCACTCTGTCCATTCACAGCATGTTTAATTGCTAACTGCTTGTCGTGTGCCCCTAGAAAATGCTCAAGAGTATAATCGTGTCTGTTCTGTTTACCGGAAACAGGGTGTGCATGGCAGGGCCTTGATACACGTGGGCCAGAGGTTCCCCAGTGTGCTTACTGGGCCACACTCCTGGAGTCCTCCAGCTGAGTCCCACACTCATTTCTAGGTATGTATCTGCGAAAATGGGCATCTCCAGGATTTAGGGGTAACTACAGATTGAGACTATCGGCTGGCCAGTTGTTCACAAAGGTCTTTCCCTGTGAAGTTGGAGTGGAACAACAGCTTGGGTAGCAGTGTGGACCAAGCAAACGCTCCCTTATCAGCTCCCCCAGAAGCCATCCTCTGCTGCCCCTCTGTAGATGCTCTGGAGGCCTGCGCTTGCTCGGTAACTCTCCCAGCCACACTCAGCTGACAGCGGCTCCCTCTGCTGCCGGGCTTCATCCCATCAGTGCACAAGGCCAGAGGCCAAACCAACAGCTCGGAACACTAAACAGCCCTAAATCTGGGCCAGCCACTGGCGTGGTGATTAAGGTGGCAGGATCCCATGGCCAAGTACACAGTTCAAGTCCCTGACCTGATGGCTTGGAAAATGTGCCAGGCATGTGTACATGTGTACCCAAAATCTCGACAAAAGAGTGGAGAAGGGACGGTAGTGTGGCCATTCCCACTGGGGGGGGGGGGCTTTCTCACTTTCTGTCTGTCTCTTGGCCTCTGTCTCTGGTAAGTGCACATGCCCTACAGGAAAAAAAAGGCAGTACACTCAAGATTCAAAACCCCTGTGGTGTCTGCAATAACAAATATCAGAGACAGCTCATCGACAGGTGAATGGGTCCCGAGTCATTTCCAAGGGTCTACTTAGTGGCATTCTAGACACGTTCTAGCTGTAAGTGAGCTTACCAGATCTACAATGTCAACAGGATAAAATCTCAACAATGCTAACGAAAAGGCAAGTTATGCAATAGCATCATTTAGGAAAGTTTAAAAGCCATGAATGAAATACTACGGGTTACATCTTTAAAATGTTTACAGATGATGTCGGAAGCAATGACTGAATGCCAGTGCCCATTAGTTCCCGGTACCCACCCCTGTCCTTCAGAGCTGAGGACGCACACAGGCTCCCTGGGGGGAGAGGATACCTCTGCCACCCCCGCAGCACAGCAGAAGGTGTCACCACAGCAGGGCCCCTACCTGTGATCAGATGCTTGGAGCTCCGCCCGGCCGTAGTACCTGAGGACACCAGGAGACCAGGTGTGTCTGACTTTGGTGTCCGCACCCAGATCATTGTCCAGAAGGTTGAGTTCTCCAGCTGCTCACGGGGATTCCATTCAAGAGGCCCACAGAGAACACAAAACCATATCAGGATACACAAATGTGACGAAACTTCCACAGCAGAGAGCTCCGTCAGGAACCGCCTCAGGGCTCAGACTCACACACTTTACCCTTTGAGCTTCAACCCAGCTGGGGTGCTTTGGGACCCAGGGTCGAAACGATTTCTCACACGTAGATTACTCCAAACCCACCTAGGGTCCTGCCCAGTGTACTAACTGTGGCCTGGAATGCAGACATGGCTGCTGAGGCAGGGTGGGCCCCAGGCCCAGGAGGTACTGAGAGCGCTGGAGGTGCTCACAGGCAGGGATGCAGAGCCCAGGAACAGCCCACTCACTCCAGCCCTCTCCCTCAAGCTCCTCTGAAAGGAAATCTTCCTGCAGATGCAGTTTCCTGGCTGCGAAATCTCAGTAGGTACCCCCCACATGTAAGATTACTGTTCACATAGGACCCCCCAACACAGACTCAGGAGAACTAGTTCACAGGTGTTCTAGCTGCAAATAAACCACCTACTGGTTGGGCATCAGGAATGGTTCAAAACCTACTTGGCAAATATTTGATAGAAAACCAAAATGGGGGCCAGTGGTGTGGTGGTTATGGTGGCTGGCTCCCACACGGTGACTAAGCAGTTCGAGTCCCAGGCTGGTGGTTTGACAATCATGCCCGACGTGTGTTTGCATGTGTGCCCACAATCTCAAGAGGAAAATGGAAAATGGAAGAAAGGGATTAGATGTGACCATCCTCCGGGGGGGGGGGGGTGATTTCTCTCTCTCTGGTGAGTGTGCATCCTGTATGAAAGTAAAAACAGGGACCAGCAGATGGCATAATGGCTACATTGCTGGATTCAGTCAGCAGCAGTCAACCACGGTTCAGGTCCTGGACCCAGTGGCTTAAAACTCAGGCCAGGTGTGTGCGCCCAAAATCCCTAAAAGAGAAGGGGAAGGGATTGCGGTGTGGCCATCCTCTCCGGGGGGGTGATTTCTCATTTTCTGTCTCTGTCTCTCTGGTGAGTGCATGTGTCCTATATCAAAAATCTCTCTCTAAAAAGAAAAAGAAAAGAAGTAAAAGCAAAAACAACAAAATGGGCGGTGTAAAGTGCAAGCGTGAGCGTGTGTGGAGGGCGGGGTGGGCAGGGAGCTGGCACAGGCCCACCTGCGGGTCGCATTTCTGCAAACGGGCCGATGGGCGCTGCCCCAGAGCACGACTGCGAAGGCTGGGGGCTCAACATCTGGGAGGACTTCTCGTTGCTCGGGTTATCGAGAAGGCTGTGATGGACACAGCGGCCCTGGGCTGCATAAATGTGGCGGCCCCCCGTTCCTCACTCGTCCCCACCAGCTCTAGTGGGCACGTCTCACTCACCCGTTCTATCGAAAGGACGCTTCTTCCTCCACCACAGCACCCTGTCTGTCCAGGCCGGGGTGCGGCATTTGTCACTTGTATCGTAGGCGGCCGAGCCAACGTCATACTTGTAGGTGGGTCCGAAGTTGATGGTCCCTTCATGGAAGTCTTTAAAAATCTATTGGGAGACAAAGGCGGCACAAGAACCCTGAGTTTTTTGGGTTCTGTACATTACAAGCAAAACCAGCAGATAAAGAGGTTCATTCTGGAGTGCTCTAGTCGTAAAAAGTGACGAAATCCGGGGCCAGCAGGTGGCGTGGAGGTTTAGGTGCTGGATTCTCATGTGGCTGACTGTGGTTCAAATCCTTAATGTAGTGGCCTGGAAATCATGCCAGATGCATGTGCGTGCATGCCCAAAATCCCAGGAGGAGACTGAAGGAGAAGGGACTGCAGTGTGGCCATCTGCCCTGTGAGGTGATGTCTCACTTTTCCTCTCCTCTCTGTTTTGCCCTATGGCAAAACAAAGAAAGAAAAAACAAAGGTGACGAAACTCCGATTATACTTGCACATGTGTCTAAACCTGTTCATATGTGTGCCTTTTAGTTAGCAAAATCTGGTGACCTCTGGGCACCCTGATGACCACACACTGTCACTACCTTCCCTCCCCCAGGACGTGTCGATCTGCCAGCTGCCTGTCACCCCAAGGAAGACAGCGAAAGACTCGATGTCTTCCCATGCCCAGCCCACCCAGCAAAGCCGTAGTCAGTATCTGTTAACCACACGGACATGTACAGAAGCACGGGGGGCAGGCCACACGCTCCTCTTTGTTCCACTTTGGGGTGCCCCTGGTGCTGTGGTTAGGTTAGGCCCAGGAACCTGCTCTCTCATTCCGTGTGTCAGTGGAAGGCTGTGAGGACACTGGTCAGAGGGAGAGAGAAACACCTGCTTTCGGGAGGTGAGTGTGACCTTTCCGCTTGGCCGCCTCTCGGTGTGTCATGTCCAGGTAGTGGCTAAGAGGGGAAGGCACAGAAAGCTTTGAGTATTGTGGCCAAGCAGTGATGCTGAGGTAACACAACTGTACCCACACAGGAAAGGTCCTGGGTTCACATCCTGGCTCTTCCCTGAACGCTCTGGGCATTTGCTTGTCTGTGACCTGGGCTAGCTGAGACTAGGCATGGATCACTTACAGCGACCCTGCTGGGTGCCTCTCTCTCTCTCTCTCTGTCTCTCACAGAAGAAATAAATAAAATTTTAAAAGGAAGAAAAAAAAACAATATTATATGGAGGAGAAAAGAATTGCAGGTCATCTGGAAGCTGGAGGGTCTGACCTGGAGAAACCGAGGACAGTGCTGTCTCTGTATTTTTTTATTATTATTATTTTATTTTAAAGGGTCGGCCATCAGACACATGTGCTCACTGGAGAGAGAGTCAGAGACAGAGAGAAGGAAAGTGAGAAATCACTTTCCCCCCGGGGGGATGGCCACACACAGTCTCTTCATCCTCCTTTCTGAATTTTGGGCACGCACGCACACACACCTGGTGTGATTTTCAGGCTTCCGGGTCTAGGACTGAAATCACATTTGGCTATGTGGCCCCAGTGCTGTCCCCATTTAGGTCATGACTTGTAGAGACACTAGAAATGCCCAGGCCGTATAGGGGCAACATGAGCTCGGGGGTGTGATAGCATGGACTGATTCATGGCCCTGTAAACCAGCTGTGTGGCCTTGCACAAGCCGCTGGACTTTGTTCTGTTTTCTTCGACTATAATAATGGGTACACAGGTTGAGCATTCCTACTCCAAAAATTCAAAATCTGAAATGCTCCAAAATCTGAAACTTTCTGAGTTCCGACATGACACCACAGTGGAAAATTCCACCTACAACCTCATGGGATGAGGCAAAATGCTGCCACACAAAAATATTGCACAACATCACCTTTGAGCTATGCATGTAATTACTATATGAAACATAAATGGCTTCCATGTTTTGACTTGGGTCCCATCCTCAAGATAGCGCATCATGTATATGCAAATATCCCCAGATGAAAAAGATCCTAAATGCAATATACTTCAGGTCCCAACCATTTCAGGGAAGAGATGGTCAACGCGTGTATCTCGTGTAGGGCGGTCTTGGGGATTTTGTTTACAAATTGGTAAGTATGTTAGCTTTTGTTAGCATTAGATAATTTGTTAGTGTTTTCACCAACCAGAATGAGCTATCACCAAAATAAAGAATTCTGAGCATGGGACCAGTAGTTAGTGTAATGGCTATGTTGCCGAACTCGCATGTAATCAACCGCGGTTCGAGTCCCGGACCTGGTGGCTTAAACTCACGCCGGGCGCATGTGCGGGCGAGCCCAAGACCCTGAGAGGAGAATGGAGGGGAAGGGATTGCGGCGTGGCCATCCCCCTGGGGGGTGATTTCTCACTTTCTGTCTCTCTGTCTCTCTCTGTGTTTCTGGTGAGTGCATGCACCCTATAGCAAAAACCTCTCAAAAAAAAAAAAAATTTTTGAGCAGAGGCTAACGTGATCCTTGGTGGTTTATTATATTTGTAATAAAGTGATGCCTAAGAAGCCTTATCTGTGAGCATGGCGGAGGGTGGGTTTGGTGTGTGTGGACTTGGACACATCATCTATAATGTTCTCCCACAGCGACGTGCTCGGATGCCGGCCTCAAGGCCACTCCAGGGCAGTCATGACAGAAACGGAACAGTGATCCCTGCCCGTGAGACAGAGGGGCCGAGGGCTCACCCATCTGAAGGTGGCAAACGACAGCAGCCACCTCCGCGCACAGAGCTCCTCTCCGGGGTCGCAGAAACTGCTGCTGCCAGATCCAGAGTGGCTTCAAGTCCCTCAAGTCCCCGCAGGGAGACACAGGAGTGTGAGGGAGGATGCTCCCACGTCCCTATCTCCCTGTGCCGTGTATTTTCTATGCTATAGGAAACACTGCTCCACCCACTCGTGGGCTTAATTTGCTGAAGGCTGACAAACACTTCAGTGGACACTATCCCACATTGCTATGTGGCGTGTTCCACAACAGAGTGGCCGCCACAACATATTCTACAAGCACAACTTACTTTTCCACTTGATTTCTGTAGCTGTAGCTGATCGAATTCCAGAAGTTTCTTCCAGTCTTGACGTTTTACAAAATAGAAGACCTCTTCGTAAGTAAGATCGATGCGGTAGTTGAAGTCGCCACACCAAAACACATAATCGTGCGAAAAAACGCTTCTCCCCTAGGTTGTAAAGGAAAGCAGAATTGGTTAGTGCATCTTGCAGGACAGGCAGAAAAGGCGGAGAAACAGGCTCACCAGACAGGACAAGTAGGCGTGTTCCCTAAATGTTACTTTTTTTTTTCTTTTTTTGGAGAGGTTTTTGCTATAGGGCGCGTGTGCTCGCCAGACATACAGAGAGACAGAGAGATAGAAAGAGAGAAATCATCCCCCAGGGGGGATGGTCATGCCACAATCCCTTCTCCTCCATTCTCCTCTCGGGATCTTGGACACACATGCACATGCGCCCGGCATGAGTTTAAGCCACCAGGTCAAGGACTCAAACCGCGGTCGACTACATCGGAGTCCAGCGACATAGCCATTACGCTAACTGTTGGTCCCTCTAAATATTACTTTTAAAAAAGAGTCATTTATTTAATTTTATTTATCATTATTATTATTTTTTAATTTGCTACAGGGCACATGCACTCTCCAGAGAGAGACAAAGCGGGTAATGAGAAAGCGGGCTGCCATGGGACTCGAACCATGGTTGGCCAAGTGGGAGTCAGTCCCTTAACCTCCATACCACCTACTGGCCCCCCTAAGTGTTACTTAAATTTTTATTTATGTATTGGCTATAGGGCACATGCACTTGCTAGAGAGACAGACAGAGAAGAAAGTGAGAATCACCCTCCCGGAGGATGGCCATGCTGCAAGCCCTTCTCTATTTTCCTCAGGATGCTGGGCATGCAAGCAGACACTCAAGTCGCTGAGCCCAGGACTGCACAGTTGGTCATGTGGGATCTAGCCACCTTAACCTCCGAGCCACCTGCTGTCCCTAGAGCACCTCAGTCTCGCTAACCCTGCGGTCCTGTGGAACGACCCGTGTGGTTTGCTCCTGTACGTAATGATGTTTCGGAGTGGTGTACAGAAAGCTGCAACTGCAACTGGGGAGGCAAGACCCCTGACCCTGACCCTGACCCTGACGGCAGGTTGTGGTCCTGCTTGGTTGTGGCTCCATCTGGGGAGGGTCGCCCAAACATTCAGCATCGTGAGAAGTGGGGGACAAGAAAGGTAGTGGAAATGCTCGAACGCACGACTTCCTGAGCCACGTAGATTTCATGCATATCCTTCCCGTGGGCCTCCATCTCGTTCTCACTCCTCCACCTCCTGACCTGGCCCAGTCGCTCTGAGCACATGGTCCCTGGCTCAGCTCTGGAGAGCTGAGGGGTCGTCTCCCTCTCTCTTCCCCAGCAATCACGGCAGTGAGGGCAGCTGCTTCATGGCAACTGTCTACATGGCGGGCTGTTCCAGGTGTTTGGGTCCTCACAGCAGCCCTGAGCAAAAGATACTATTGGCTTTTATATTATAAAAAAGAAAAAGAAAAAGAAATGTAAAATCAGGCCAGCGCCATGGCCTAGGGGCTAAGGGAGCCAGATCCCATATGGCCAGCTGCGTGGTTGGCAGTTGGAAAAATGCAGTGAATGTGTGTGTGTACATGCATGTATGTGTGCGTGCTCCAAATCCTGAAAGGATAGAGAAATGGGGGAGAGGGGACTGCGGCGTGACCACAACCCACTGGTGTGCTTTCTCTGACTCTCTGTGGCAGGTGCACAGAAAAAACATGAACAAAGGTGTGGAGATGAAGCAGCTCCCTGCAGGTCACCCGCCAGCGCACGACAGCGATGAGATCCGCGCTCACATCTGCCAGCTCCAACATCTGCTTCTGTCCTCCCACATGGCGTGGCTCCCCTCCCTCCGCTCCCACAGCAACCTGGAACAGCAATCTGGACAGACGTTTAAACGATCACAACCAAATGACACACGTGTCCAGACAGTGCTGTTGGCGGGACTTCCTGCGGCCTGGAAACGGGCCCTGTGCCTTCTAGGGCCAGAGCCACGGGCCACATGGGGATACTGAGCACTCACAGTGTGGCTGGTGTGCAGGAGCAGTTTCTAACTGCATTTTATTTTAGTGAATTGATACTTAAGTAGCCGCCTGTGGTTGGAGCCATACCAGACACAGTGGTGCAGAGTCTCAGCCCCTCACGCTTTGCTGCTGGGGCTAAACTGCTTTAACGGGGAGACCCTGGAGTTGGGCATGGCCCTCCATGCAAGCTCTGAAACACCTTACCGTGCCCTCACAACTATGCAGGGCAATTAAGTGTAAATGCGACATTAGGAAATAAGTATATTTATAAGACCAGAAGTTGGCATAATGGCTATATCGCAGGACTCCCATGTAGTCGACCACGGTTCAAATCTTGGACCCAGTGACTTAAACTCATGCTGGGTGCATGTGCGTGCATGCCCAAGATCCCGAGAGAAAAATGGAGAAGGGATTGCGGCGTGGCCATCCACCATGGGGGGTGATTTCTCTCATTCTGTCGCTCTGGAGAGTGCATGTGCCCTATAGCAAAAACCTCTCAAAAAAAAAAAAAAACGAAAAGAAAAGAAATAAGTTTTAAAAAGGCAAAAAGCTAGTTTATAGAGTTTTAATTACTTGGAATGTGCCTTGTGTTTTCTATAGTCATGTGTGGCTTCGTGAAGGGGATCATCACTCTGAGATGTGAGTCATTGTTGGGTCACTGTGTCGTCGTGCCTGTCACAGCGTGCACTTACACAAGCCCAGGTGAGGTGGCCCACTGCATATGGGCTGGCTGGTGCCGTCCTACAGGACCCCATGGGAGACGCAGCCCACTGGTGACCAAAATGTCACCATGTGACACAAGGCCGAGTTTCCGAATAGAACTTTTTCTTAGAAATTTTTGCTAGAGGGTGCGTGCCCTCACCAGAGAGAGAGAAAGCCAGAAATCATCCCCCAGAAGGGATGGCCACACCACAATCCCCTCTGCTCCATTCTCTAGGCAAGCACATATGCCCGGTGTGAGTTTTAAGCCCTGGGGTCCGGAACTCAAACCACAGTCCACTACGTGGGAGTCCATTATACCATCTGCTGGTCTCCTCAAGTAGCACTCTTTAACACAGAAGGGTGGGCTTTTTAAATTTTTATTTTTTAAAAACTATACACACACACACACACACACACACACACACAGACACACACAACTGAACACTTCCCAACTCAATTATTAAGTGGTTGGAAAAGTCATGATATATTTTTCTACATTTTTCAATGCAAAAATGTGCCATGACTTTTCTGATGACCCAATATTTGTTTCTTCTTCAGCCAGCCGCTGTCTCAGAGCAGGGAGACCCTGTGGTGACAACAACTGAGCCTGGCCTCACTCCAGAACACTGGTGCAGAGGCTGCAGGTGTGTGCAGAGGTTGAAGGCATGTGCAGAGGCCGAGGGCATGTGCAGAGGCTGAAGGCGTGTGCAGAGGCTGAAGGCGTATGTAGAGGCTGAAGTGTGTGCAGAGGTTGAAGGCGTGTGCAGAGGCTGCAGGTGTGTGCACAGGCTAAAGACGTGTGCAGAGAATGAAGGTGTGTACAGAGGCTGAAGGCGTGTGCAGAGGATGAAGGTGTGTGCACAGGCTGTAGGTGTGTGGGTGCATCATTGTGCACAGGAAGAACATGAACACTGAAACTTGAGGGCCAACCTGTGGCATGGTGGTCAAGGCAGCTGGATGCCACGTGGCTGACCCAACGGTTCAAGTTCTGGATTTAGAGGCTTGAGGAACATGAGAGAAAGGACTGCAGTTTGACCATGCCCGAGGGGGGTTGCTTTCTTACACCACCCGCCCCCCATCCTTCATCCCAGTGTTTTTTTTTTTTTTTTTTT